TGCTGATGGGGATTAACAGTGATGTCTTGTACCGTAATAAAAATGTTCTAACTTCATGTATTCACTGGATTTTTAGATCATTCCTATAGTTTATATTTATCCCTGGAGCTGTGAACTTATGTTCTTTTCTTTAAACTTTTATTAGGATTTTATTCTATTTTAACTCCTTCAGTATCATTTTAACTTTATAATTTTGTATTATTTTTAGTAATTAGAGGTTACAATATGCTTTCATAATGTATTATAATATTCTTTGACTTACTGCAGGTTTGTAGGTTGTTTATAAAGTATATATTAGTTACTAAAATATTCTTTAAATTAATAATATACTCCTTTATGAATAATGTAAACTGTACAACAGCACAATTCCATTAATCTCTCATTTTCTCTTTGTCCTATGCTCAATATATATTTTACATCTACATATTTTGTTTTTGAGATACAGTCTCACCGTATAGTTCAGACTGGGCTTTAATTCACGTAGCCCCAGGCTGGACTGGAACTCCCAGCAACCCTCCTGCCTCAGCCTCCCCAGTCATAAGCCACCATGCTCGGCTTCCTACGCATTTTTCTAAAACGTACACGCATTATGTGTTTCAAATGTCCAGGAGTCTCATTCTCCTTATGGTCACCCCTTGCAGTATTCCACTTGCTCCTGTGGACCCGTGCTTCCATCCGGGATCAATCTCGTTCATCCTGAAGAGCTTCCGTCTGCAGTGTAGCTCTGCAGGCTGTGGAACAGCTCTACTTTCATTTATCTGAAAGGCTTCCATTTCTGAAGGACATTTTCTCTGTAGGAAATTCTAAATTATCAGGTTGGGGAGATAGCTTGATGGTTTAAGCACCTGCCTGGCAAGTGCAAGGACCCAGGTTCGATCCCCAGTACCTCACGCTATGCCAGCCCCATGCCAAGCCAGCCACTGAAACCAGACATGGGGGCGCACGCCTGTAATCCTAGCACTGGGGAGGCTGAGACAGGAGGATCACTAGGAGTCTGAACTGCACAGTGAGACCCTGGACCAAACATATAAAAAAATTAAAAAATATTTCTTAAATTATCAGTTTTATTCCTTCAGCACCTTACAGTCTTTCCATTATCTCTCATTTTTTTCCCACTAAGAAGCTGGCTATCGTCGTTGTACCTCTGAAGGTATCACACGTTCTGTTTAGCTGCATTTAGATTTTCTCTCTGTTCTTGACCATCAACGATCTCAGTGAGGTATTTCTAGGAATGTTTTTCTAGTCCTGATCCTGCTTGGGGATTGCTAGCTCTTAATCTGTTGGCTGATGTTTTTGAGGAAATTCCTTTCAAATATTTATTCTCCAATAGCTGTCCCCGCTCCTTCCAGCCCTCCAAGTGCAAATATATTATATCATTTCACATTAGGCTCTCTCTCTCTCTCTCCCCTTCTATTTCTCATCTCTTCCTGGCTCAGCTGGGGTAGTTTCTAATGACCAGCTTTTGGGGACACTGATCCTTTCTCCTTCTGTTCAGCCCATTTAATTTTAACCAAGCAATAAATCTTTAATTTCAAATACTCCATCTTTCAGGTTTAAAATACATATTTAATTCCTTAGATATTCCATTTTATGAGGAACTCCATCTTTTCTTCAGCTTGGTCTCCTCCCGATTTCTCGAGCACAAGTAGAACCATCACTTGGCTCTCACGTGGGACGGTGCTCTGGGTGGCCGGTGGATCCACCGCCGCACTAGGGAGTCACATTTCTCTGCTTTTCTCTGTGTAGTTTTGCTTTTAGGTTGCACAGGAGCACCAGATCCAGAGCACTCTAGAGCCTGCAGTCAACACTGAGCTGGGCACATGGTGTCATTCCTCGGGGAGGTCGCGTGAGGGACAGAGAATCGGGAACTTCCCTGCCCAGGCCGGCTTTCAGCTTCAGTTAGCTCTTTAGACTTCTCAAAAGAGGACGCATGCTGTGCATGTATTATAGAGGCGGGATTCTATTCTTCTACATACATTTTAAAATGCATTTGCTTCCCTGGAAACTCCAACTGCAAATGGCTTTTTGGCAGAGATGTTGCTACGTGCTTAAAATCTGTCTCATCTTGTGTGTTGTCCTAAAACAAAACAAACTGGAACAATCTTCCTCAGTGTTGTCTAGCTACAGCTTCGGGGCCATGGGACTCGTGGGACTCCCCTCAGCTGGCAGAACACAGGCCGAAGCGGCTCTCCGATAAAACCTCCCGCGCTAACCCTGCGCGTCCTTGTCCTCCCCTCCTCAAGCAGGCGCAGGCGACACGGAGGTGGAGTCAGCCGGGCACCATGTGTCAGGGCCTCGGCCCGGGGGCCACCGCGGCAGCGAGCCCAGCCGGCCTACGCAGCACCGCGCTGAACTGTCGACTGCTGTGAGGAGAAGTAATGACTTCATGGAAGGCACTCCCACCCGGGCACAAGCTCGCTATCTGTTCACAGCTTTTATGTATTGTAATAACATTTCATCTTTTCATCAGAGGAAAAAATTGTCATCTTATGTCTATGATGATTAGAAATTACAACTGTTTGCCTGTGCTATCTAAATGTCCAGTTGATTCCTACAGAGAAGTGGTGGTTTCTAAGATACTTTCGTACATGGCGAAGCTGAATTCTTTTTTTATTCTCAATAGCTTGTAAAGCTGATGGCTGTGTATACAGACACAAGCTATAAAAGTAATAGTAACTCTTGCACCTGTTATCTGTCCCAGTACTGAACCTGAACCCAGGAGCTTCTCGCTGGGTTCAGAGTCAGCAGAAGGTTCTTTCCCCAGCCCATTTTTAGCTTTTTATTTTGAGACAGGGTCTCAGCCACCACTGTCACTCTGGTGGGCCTGAACTTGCCACCACCTGTCTCAGCCTCCCAGAGTGCTGGAACGACAAGCCACAGCCGGCGGCTATTCCATTCCTTTCTCATACTTCTCTCTATGGCCTCCAGTTAAATCATCTGAAACAACAACTAACAGTAATGGTTTTCTTAAAGCCTTTAGTGCATTTGGTTGGCTGGTATTTTAATATCTTTCTATCTCTGTTTATAAAGAACATAGCTCTAGCATTTTCTTGTTTTCTGTTGCTCATTGCTCATGCTCTCTCCTGCCTCGGGATATGTGCATCTGGTTACATCCTCTGCCTGACATCAATCAATCAACCTCGATCTTTCTCCGTCCCTGCGCTAATTCCTACCGCTTTCTCTCTCACATTACTGCTTTAACATTTATTCCCTTTCAGTAAATGCTCAATCTATAAAAATAGTTAAGTAAGTTAATTTTCTCATCTTCAGTCTATTCTTCCTTCCTAATTTGCATGCCTGGTGTATTAAGAGGAGCTGGTAAAACTGCGTGTGTTTTCTCTATTTTACTGAAACATTATTTATTAAAATAGTTTTGAGTAATATTTCCTACAGACTTAGACTTCATTTTTTGTTTGTTTGAGGCATGGTAGCTATAGTTCAGGCTGTAGTTCAAACTCAAACAGGTAGCCCAGGTTGACCTCAAACTTGAGACAATCCTCCTGCCTCTGCCTCCCGAGGGCTGGGAGTACAGGCGTGTGCCACCACGCCTGGCAAGCGACGCATCTCTCTAGACATACAGTGTTAGAGCTGTCAGCATGTGCATGTTTCTTTTACACTCAACACATCGATCTCTGGCTCACTAGCTAGCATCTGAGGCTTGTCTGAATGGAACTGAAATGTAGTATAAGAATGCAACTGGAATTTTAAGATTTGACATGAACAAAAAAACCTAGAACATCTCAGTAATTTTATGCTGATTCCATGTTGAATTACATAAATTCTGCCTGTTTCTCTTTTGTGAATCTACCGGAAAATTTAAAAATACAAATGGGATAGTGCTGCTCACAAGGTAGCCTCATCAGTGGAGACCAAGCTATAAGAAAAGAGCAATTTGCATTTAAACCTCTCACTTTCACTTCTTAGCTCTGTAAGTTTGGCAAGTTACTTAAAACATGAACTTCGTAAGGAAACTGGGGATTACATTAAATAAGACAATGTATGTAGAATTAATGGCACTTGGTAAATAACATCTAAAGCTTGTTTAATCATCTTCAAAACGAAGGTCACCCGTCACAGCACCTACCATATGGCTGTACGAGGAGGAAACCAATGAAGCTCGTCCTGAAGTAAGCAGTTACTACAATTCCTTTACAACTGATATGACCTCAGTATCCACTATTAGGTTCTACAATGTTGCCGTGTTTTAAGAAAAATAAGTTACTTTATAATTGTATTCACTCTTTTCTATGTGTTAATAAATCTGTTGGGGTTTTATTCTGTATTTTAGAGAAGGGTCTGCAGGGTGTTCAGGGTCTCACTACTAGATCAGACTTGTAGTGATGTGCCTGTTTACAGCCTCCCAAGAGCTGGGATTACAGGCGCGTGCCATCACGCCCAGTCTCAATTGCCACCTCAGTGTGCCCTGAGGAAGGGGCTGTCACAGCAGGCCCAGGGATTGAAACCCTGTCCCCTGCGCCTGTTTGCAGGTGCTTCAATCTGCTGAGCTATTTGGCCAGCCACTTTAATAAATCTTTTGCATAGGTAAGTACATTTAGTTATATGGAAACAAAATAGTTAAGCATCCTGAATTTTTTCCAAGTAACTACTGAAAAAACTTGACTAAACGTTATGTTTAGAAAATCCCCAACTCCTTCTATTCAAACTTGAAATAATTTGTATAAACTTCTCCTTTCAGTAAAATCATTTCACAGAAGTTTATCTTGAATAGCTCATACTCTTTAAAGTACTGTTTCAAAAATAAAATTCTACAAATAACTCTGCACATAAATAGCAAATGTTAATACACCCAAGTTTAAGAATTTAAAATTGTTGAGCTGAGTGTGGTGTGCACACCTGCAGTCCCAGCACGCGGGAGGCTGAGGCAGGAGGATTGCCCTGAGTTCAAGGCTGCCTGGAAAATGTAGCAAGACACTGTCATAAAAAAATATTGAAGTTGTTTTCATTGGTTCCTTAATATCTAAAGTAGATTAATACAATCTGGTATATAATGGGGGTACAATTTCTTATAGAATAACCTTGGTAATTAAAATATTTTAGTATGTGACAGAAAGGTAATCTCTGAATCTGGAGACACAGTTACAAAACCTTTTCCAAACTCAGAGGAAAGTGAGTGAACTTACTGTGACACAGTAAGCTCTCAGGTGTCACTGTCAATCCCAGGGTACTACAAGTGGTCACTCCAGTAGACCGCCAGCGTGTCGGGAACCATGGCCTCACTCCTGGTCCTGGGAGCGCTTTGTCCTAAGCGGCTGGCTCTGCAGGCAGCCCCTGCTCTGAGGCCTGGACTAAGGCCTTCCGCACAGCCTGGCTGTGCTGATAGGAAGCCTCTCCCCTCTGCATGGGCCGCAGCCCCCGCGGGCATCAGCAGCTCTGTGATAGCGTAGGGCCTGGGCATTTGGCCGGGGAAACCCAGCGCTTACACTCGGCACTTGTGACGGAGGACCGAGGTGTAAAGAGCTTTGTAAGACACAATGACAAAAGATTTTAAAACCTAAGGCGACTCAAGGTCATAAACAGCAGGGGTCTTTGTTACAAATGTTAGAATTCAGTTGCACAAAAAGAATAAATATAATCTAAGACTGGAATAAAAATATATCCAAAGTTATTTTTTTTTCTAGGCAGCAAAACAGTATTCTGTTTAGAAAAAGTTCATACAAACCTAAAGTCATTTCTATTTTTTTTTTTTTTAAAGTAGATTTTAACAAAATGGCCAGTAAAAGAATTAGGAGTTTTAATGTTGATCATATCAATTTATTAACTAGTTTTGGTCTTCCCATTAGTTTCTTATATAAAAAGGTTAGCTTCTCAATAGTAGGTACAACAGTATTTAAGGAGAATTTAGGGGAAAAATGGAAGATAGAAATCATAAATAACCAAAAGGTAAATGAAGAAAAATTAGTGTAACATTTGCCATAGTTTAGATTAATCTTCATTCATAAATTTTTAGATTGTTAAAATTATCTTAGCCTAAAATTACTATGACGAATTACCATAAAAGATTCCAACCTTTGAAAATTGTGAAACTCATCAAGAGCTCTTTAGTGCAGCTTAGAATGTCAGCTATCACACTACTTGTCAGCTTTGGTCTGTACGCTCTGGACCTCTGCAGGCCAAGGGTAACAGGCAGGGAGAATCTGGTCATATTCCGTGCTGTACATCTGCGAGCAGACAAACGCTTCTTTGTCTTGTGGTTCAGGATAAACTGTGGCTGTCTTTTCTTGGTATGCATCAGTCACAATCTAGAAATAAAAGAATATTATCTGAATGAACAGAGGGTCTAGGGAGCACATGCTTATAGAAGATTTTTATCTGTCAAAAGTTAACTTATAATTTATCTTTGTATCCATAAAAATTATTACAATAAAATCATATAAACAAAGAAAATATGAAGTGAAAATGACATTATAAATCACACAGCAAGAGGAGGCAATGATACTAGCAACTCAGGAAAGTGGGAATGGTGTAGATGTACTCAAGTGTGAGCCTACCAGGATTGCACAACAGCCCCACAATGCAGTTCCGCTAGCCTCGAGCTCACAGGGATCCCTCCTGCCTCAGCCTCCAGAGTACTAGACTCACAGCCATGCATGCCATACCTGGCAACCTGGCCATTTTAAGTGAAAAATTAAACAAGTTTTGTGAAATCACAGAACTGTGGAACCAATTACCATCCAGTTTCAGACTACTTCCAAGAAGAGGCCAATCCCAGTGCCTGGTGGCACTGGCCATGTGGCTGCCACGGTAACACCGACCCTGTCCGCGCTGCGCTGGCGCTGCCCTGCTCCCCTTCCTGCCCTGGGCTCCGTACAGCGCTGATGGCTCACTGCCCCTCCTGTCCGTGTCAAAGCCTCTGGGCAGCAGCTCGCCTCTCGCTGCTCCCTACTTCTCCCCTCACATCAGCACCTCTTTCCCGACGCTGACTGACCCTGTGAAAGTCTGATACTTCCAAGGCCCGCCTGTTTCCGTCCAGCGTTGCTTGGTTCCACATCCAGGGGCAGAAACTGGCCCATCTCTAATTTCTGATGTTGTGCTCGGCTTTGAGTCTCTTCTTCAAACTCTGATCACTGCTTCTTCCCTAGCTGCTGCTTCTGTCTCCAGTGACAACAGCCCCATCTTCTATCCTCGGGTTCCACCTAGATTTCTGGCCACGGCGCCCTCCATCCTACTGGCCTCGCCACTGTGCTGTGTGATGACTTGCGTGTCTGGCCCTCTCGCTCCACTCTTAAGTTTCAGTCACCTCTGTCAACTGGTTAGAAGCGTAACTTGTGCCACGGACACCTTTACCTCGTCTTCCCGCGCCACTCCCTGCTGACCAGGCTGCGTGGAAGGCGCCCTCTCCTTCCTGCGCTCAGCCCCAGGGCGCGACCATCTGCTTGCTCCGGAGCCCTTCGCCTCCCGCCTCCAGTCCGGGTCAGCTGTTTGCTTCTGCACATCGCTCCCAGCGCTCCATTTTCCCACTGCTGGAGGCACGGCTGCATCTTTTTAGACTCCTTATTTGCTCCTCTGATCATATCCTAACTTTCCATTACAATCATCAAAATTAACTTGCATGTTAATGTTCTATTCAGCATATTAATAATTCAGACCAGCTAAAAGCCAGTCAGGACATGTGATTAGAAGCCACGGTGTGTTCTCACCAACCGATAAGCGCACAGATTGCTATCTAGACGGGTGATGGTTTAGTACTTTTGAAGAAATCTTCCTTCAGTCGACAAGAAAAACGATGACATACGAATCTTTTAAACAGTGTTGTTTAGATAAACTAGCTAATGGCTCAAACTACTGATTTTTAAACCAGGAGCAATTTGGTTTCCAGGGGGACATGTGACAATGGCTGGCAACATTTTTGATTGTGACTACGGTACCAATGCCACTAACATGCAGAAAGCAGAGGCCACGGGTGTCCAACGCACTAGAGCAGCACAGCCACCAGCTATCCAGCCCAGTGCCCTGAAGACTGAGGCTGGAACCCCCAATCCTTACGCGGAAGTCCTAACCCTTGATCAGAACGCGCCTGGATGTGGAGATGCAGCTTTGGAAGAGTTAATGAAGCTAACGTGAGGCTGGAAGGTGACCGTAATCCAGCCTGACTGGCACCCCTGCAGAAGATGGGAGAGCACACCCAGAGGTGCACATGCCCAAGATGGCGAGGGCAGCCCCCTGCAGGCCAAGGACAGTGGCCTCGGGAGAAACAGATCTGGGCCCAGGAGCTGCCAGGACATGGGAGAACCAACTCTGTTGTTGAAGCGTACGGTATTCATTATGGAAGCCCCCGCCAACTATTACTGTACACCACAGAGTCCATTTCCCTCTCGTGTTCAGTTATAGAAAATTTTCCTGCTTTTAGATTCTCCTTGTGTAACTCTCCTAAATAGACCATCTGCCACCCTGGTGGCTGGTGAGGCTTTGCCCACTTTTCCTTACACCCAGCACTGCCAACCGAGGCCCAGTCCGTCCCTGAGACGCCGTGCATCGGAGGCACGCACATGGCGGGCCGTCGCAAGCCTGTGTCACTCCACCACATCTTCAGTAATTTGGCAGGCATTGTGAGTATGGTTTGGAAAAAGTACAACTGTAGTCAGGTGAAATAAAATGGGAGGGATCAGACTCAAAGAAACTCCAAATAAATTATTTAAATTATAGGAGAAAAAGAACAATATGGAAATGAAGGATTCATCTCCATCCTTCCATTCCTCTCTGAGGACAAAGCGTACCTGCTATGCCCCATGAAGTCTCTGCCTCATTTTCCTGTTTCTGAGACGCACCGAATACACAGGCACACATTCCACAGAAGCAGATTTTTAATATCAAAAAGTCCTACTTAGTAAAAGAATGAAGGAAAAATAGTTAAGATCCGAGCACGTGTGACTTTACCTTTACTGCAATTTTCAGTGAAACATCTCTTATAGTATTCAAAGGAGGATAGAGCCGTCCCTCTTCAAGGTGCTTATCTAACACTTGCTGAGATATAACCTTAAAAAAGAAAAGAGAAGAAAAGTATTTATGTACCACACTGTACATGGTGGCAGCAGGCATATAACTAGGTAGACGGTAATCCTGTCAATGCCCGTTGGCAGTGCATGGTGGTCACATTCACTGTCCCCACCCCACTGTCCATGTACACACATCTCAATTCTTTTCCTTGTCACCTTCCCCCACCGCATTTTGCTACCATCAGATTCATCTGCTTGTCTCATAAGTCCTTAGAAAGCTAATTATCACATATGCAGAAAGTTAATTATCATATATGCATGCATAAAGCATGCATATTATCATATAATTATCATATATAATATCATATAATTATCATATATAATATATATGCAGGTTAACAATAAGACTAGTAGTCTGCAAAACATATAAGACACATAAGGCAATTATACTAAATCAAGGAATTCTTTTAGATATATTGTCCGCACTGGACTGTAATAACTTTTTTTCCTCTCTCTTTTCCTCTTACCTTTTAATTTGCATTTTATTTTCAT